AATAAAAGCCAAAGTCCTTAAAATAATCTGTAAGGCCCTATACCAGTGGTTTCTCAAAGGGGAGTGTTTAAGAAATATATGGAGGCATTTCTGGTAACAATAACTTGGAAAATTACTTGTAGGTAGTATGCATAGAGGATATTCTGCTTCTTGTATGACATCTGAATGTGCTACTAGACACTTAGAATGGATTAAAAACTTGTCATTATTTAGATTGGACTCTAACTCCATCATATATATATACACACACAATTAGGGTTAGGGTTAAATTAATAGTTACCTCTGTATGTTAGGGGTGGGAGGTGGAAAAAAGGAGGTAGATAATTCTTTTACATATTACAGTACTTCTTCTACACGAATTAGTCTTTTTATATTTTTAGTTTTTTGGGGGAGGCAGTTTTGGTCATTTACATAACCCAAGGGTATTACCAATTTTATCTGTATTTTCAAGTTTATTTGCATAGAATCTTAATTTTAAAAATTCCATTAGTATCTGTATTTTCCCATTTTACTATTTATTCTGTGCATTTGTGCTTTCTTGATAAAGTACAGTTAGCAACTTTTCATTTGGCATTAACAATGTGCACCCAAAACTTCTGAAATTACAAATGACACTTGTTATATGGTAGGTAAACCAGGGGATTAGGACCTATGCTATTAGAAATATTGAAATAGCAAGAGCTCTACTTTCTGTACCATGGCTATTTGGTTACATGCAAAATAAGAAAAGCCTGTGTGATACTGTGATCTTCAAGAAATACAGAGTTGGTCATTCAGATGACCACAATATATTTCCCATATATATTTGCTCTTTGTCCGGTTTCTGACTGACAGTTCCCCCAATCCTTGGAATTTCCTGAGTATTAGAAGTGATAAAAGTGTCTTTTGTTATGTAAAGGGGCAACTTTGGGAAAGCATTTAAGGGAGGCAGCTGGTTGCCTGGAGGACCAAGCAGTGATTAAAGTGGTTTTAAAGGTGGGCTCCTGTGTGGCTCAGTGGGTCAAAGCCCCTGCCTTCAGTTTGGGTCCTGGGATTGTCCTGCATCGGGCTCTCTGCTCTGTGAGGAGCCTGCTTCTCCCTCTCTCTCTCTGCCTGCCTCTCTGCCTACTTGTGATCTTTGTCTGTCAAATAAATAAAATCTTAAAAAAAAAAAAAAAAAAAAGGGCTTGGATCTGCCAGTCCCACCTCCCAACCTCTGGAGAGAGAAGAGGGACTGAAGATTCAGTCAATGATTTAGTCAATTATGACTATGTAAAGATGCCTCCAAAACACAGTTTTTGGCCTTTCTTTTTGAAGAGCTTACCTGCTTGGGGAATCAGAACACTTCCATGTGCCACCAAGCCAGGCCCCAAGCTCCATGAGGGCAGAAGCAACTCTGTTCAGGACTTCATCCTATGTATTTCTCTCTCTTTTTAAAAAAAGGTTTTATTTACTTATTTGTTACAGAGAGAGAACACAAGCAGGGGGAGCACCAGGCAGAAGGAGAAGCAGGCAGAGGGAGAAGCAGGCTCCCTGCTAAGCAGGGAGCCCAAGGCAGGACTCAATCCCAGGACCCTGGGATCATGAACTGAGCAGAAGGCAGAGGCTTAACCCACTGAGCCACCCAGGTGCCCCTAGCCTTCCCTTTTTAAAAAGCATTTATCTCAGTCTAAAATCATATTTTTAAAATTTGACAGAGAGAGAGAGAGAGATCACAAGTAGGCAGAGCAGCAGGCAGAGAGAGAGGAGGAAGCAGGCTCCCCGATGAGCAGAGAGCCCGATGCGGGGCTCGATCCCAGGACCCTGAGACCATGACGCAAGCCAAAGGCAGAGGCTTAACCCACTGAGCCACTCAGGTGCCCCTAAAATCATATATTATTAAAGCAAATATCTAATTTAAGTCTGTACTCCCATGGGGAGACTATAAACTCTACAAGAGCAAGAAATGTCTTTTTGTTTACCACTTAGCATATGCCCAGCACATAGCAGGTATTAAAAAAATTCTACCAAATGTATGAATATAGGTATACCTTGTTCCTTTTTTAAGAGTAGCAAAGAATTCCACTTAATGGATTTCATAATTTCTTTCTTTTTTTTTTCAAAGTTTATGGAGTGATACAGTACAAAGTACAAAGTTTATGGAGTGATACAGTATAAAGCTCCCAAAGAGGGAAGGGACCTGAGAGGGCTGCCCTGGATGTCATAATTTCTTAAGCGAATCCCAGAATGATGGGCATTTAACTTGTTTCCAGATTTTTGCTATCATATTTTTAAAAGAATTTATTTGACACAGAGAGAGAGAGACAGTGAGAGAGGGGGAATGGGAGAAGGAGAATCAGGCTTCCCCCTGATCAGAAAGCCCGATGCGGGGTTCAATCCCAGGACCCCAGGACCATGACCTGAGCCAAAGGCAGATGCTTAATGACTGAGCCACTTAGGCACCCCAGATTTTTGCAATCAAACAATGCTAATGACCACTTGTGCCAGTATATCTATGAATGTACTTAAATGTAATTCTTCTTTGTCTCAAGTTTTTATTTAAATTCCAGTTAGTTAACATATAGTGTTAATACTGGTTTCAGGAACAGAATTAGTGATTCATCCCTGATATATAATACCTAGTGCTCATTACAAGGGCCTCCTTAGTCCCCATCACCCATTTAGCCCACCTCCCCAGGCACACCTCCCCTCCATCAACCCTCAGTTTGTTCTCTATAATTAAGAATCTCTTATGGTTTGCCTCCTACTATTTTTTAAAGATTATTATTTTTTTAAATTAATCTCCATACCCAATGTAGGGCTTGAACTCACAATCTGCAAGAGTCACACGCTCTTCTGACTGAACCCACCAGGGGCCCCTTAAATGTAAGTCCCTTTTTCCTTTCTTTCTTTCTTTTTTTTTTTTTTTTTAAAAGTAAGCTCCTTGCCTAGCATGGAGCCCAGCGCAGGATTTGAAGTCATGACCCTAAAGTTAAGACCTGAGCTGAGATCAGCGGTTCAGATTAGGAGATCAGATCTGAGATCAGCAGATCAGATGCTTAACTGACTGAGCCACCCAAGCCCCCCTAAATGTAGTTCTTAAATGTAAAATTTCTGATCAAATGAAAAGTGCATTTAAAATTTTAACTGAGGGACACCTGGGTGGTTCAGTGGGTTAAGCATCTGCCTTCAGCTACGTCATGATCCCAGGCCCCTGGATGGAGTCTCACATCAGGCTCCTTGCTCTCTGGGGAGCCTGCTTCTCCCTCTGCCTGGCGCCCCCACCCCACCCCCCAACCCCCCGCTCATGCTCACTCTTTCTCTCTCTCCAACAAATAAATAAATAAATCTTTAAAACAAAATGTAAACCCCAAGTTTTAAAAATTAAATAAAATTTTAATTGATATTTTCATATTGCCCTAAGAGGTTATAACTTATACTCTAAGTAATCAACAATGTGTAAGAGTACCCATTTCCACAATACTCAACTTGTACAATCAAAATGAGCCTACTCTTTGGGATAAGGTTGGGGAGATAGTAGAGAACATGTTAGTATTTATGTATGAGGGGTTTTTAAATATTTTAATATCATAACCAAAATTTTAAATTAAAATATTTAAGTTTATTATTCCTATAAAAGAAGAACAGCAAATGAGTTAAGTAGACAAAGCTCAGTGATTAGGAAAATACTTAGTTATTGACAGACTGTGGGAAAATTTGTGTATTTTATTTATTTTTAAAGTTTTTTTTTTTTTTTTTGATAGGTGGAGATCACAAGTAGGCAGAGAGGCAGGCAGAGAGAGACGAGGAAGCAGGCTCCCCACTGAGCAGAGAGCCTGAGGCGGGGCTCAATCCCAGGACCCTGGGATCATGACCTGAGCCGAAGGCAGAGGCTTTAACCCACTGAGCCACCCAGGCGCCCCTAAATTTGTGTATTTTAAAAACCATGTATTCACGTGGCACTGGGTGGTGCAGTTGGATGGGCATCTGAATCTTGGTTTTGGCTCAGGTCATGATCCCATGGTTGTGGGACTGAGCCCCTGTGTTGGGCTCCTTGATCAGCAGGGAATGTGCTTGAAATTCTCTCTCTCCCTCTGCCCTTCCATGTGCACATGCACTCGCATTCTCTCATAAATAAATAAATCTTAAAAAAACAACATGTATTTACTTAACCTGTAGATTCTACAAATCACTTTTCCTGTCATACAAAATTTTTCCCTTTCTGAGGCAGTACAAGGAGAAAAATCACAGTAAGAATACTCATACATAAGAATATGTAGAAAGTAGGGGAAAATGTTAATATTTTATATTAGAGTAAATTTTTTCTTGAAGACATTAACATTTTGGTCTAGTACCTTGTATGTTTTTGCGCCCATATTTAACACATCTCATAGAATGCTTATATATTTATAAAGTGCTTCTTCTCACTGAACAGTGTAGCATGTACATTTCTTTTGTGACTTTAAATGTTACCCCTTTTCTCCAGAGTGTCAAGAAGTAGCAAGAAAAAACACCTACATGGCACCCCCTTCTTTACATCTTCACTATGGTTCTTAACTTCTTTGAGCTTCCATTTTCTGATCTGACATATGAAGGCATTAGTTTAAATGCCCTCTGTACAGCAAACAGTTAAAAGATTAGAGAGAAAATCTCTTTTAGCTCTATTAAGATTTTCTAAAACATACCAGGCCTGTATTTAAGAAAACAGATTCCTGTTCCCTCTGCCCTACCACTTAGTAAGCCTATTACTCAAAATAATTTGATTCTTGATAATTTGGGATTTTTAGATATTTCAGGATCAGTTTCTCATCAGAAGTGATCTTATTTGTAGTGATTCCAGATTATATATCAGAAATTCTTATTTAAAATATAAAGGGAAAAAAAACACTAATATTTTTCTTATTAATTCTACTTTGAAGCAGGAAATGAAGGGATTAGTTTTTAGAGGGTTTTCTTTTAATGGTCGTAATCAATGGGATTTCACATATAATAGGCTGTCAATTCTTTTCCATGTCTAGAATTACAGAAACACGAGCTCTTACCTTAACTGGGAAGCTACATTTTCCAGTACGAACCCCTTCTTCATCTGTCTGCCACTGATGTGGACGACTGGCCTCTGGAACATAAACATCTTTCTTTCTCCTAAAACTTTGCCGTAGTTTGTTCATTTTAACTTTTACAACCTGTAGACAGAGTTAAAGAAATATGAAAAAGAGGTTATTACCTCTCATATATTTCAACTTTGGATTACCATGCTGATATAAAACTAATGTCCCAAATGAAACATTTTGGTTTAACAGAAAATGAACAACTAGTATCCCTACTATTAGATTAACTCTAAGCTCAAATAAATCATTTTGTTTTTCAAAAACCCCCACAAAACTATAATAGTTCTTATAAAACTACAATAACCTCTAAGTTTTGGAAAAGATGTTATTCAAAGAACTTTCAAACATTTTAATTGTAATAATCCAATGAGTGTTCCTACTGACCTACCCCTCAAATCCATTCTATTTTCTGAATAAGGAAATCTGTACATGTAGACCAAATTACAGACTGCTGACAATGTCTGAAAACATTCATACTTTAGGAAAAAAAATTCCTAAACATTAAAATTTAGGGACCTTTTGGCTTAGTATTAGAAAACATTAAACAAACCAGGGACTATAGCCTGAATATAAAACATCTTTATAAAAAGGAAGCAAATAAAGTTTCTTTTAAACATAAAGAAGAGGGGCGCCTGGGTGGCTCAGTCAGTTAAGTGTCTGCCTTTGGCTCTGGTCATGATCCCAGGGTCCTGGGATCCAGCCCCATGTCAGGTTCCCTGCTCAGTAGGGTGTCTGCTTCTCCCTCTGCCTCTCCCCTGGCTTGTGCTCACTTGCTCTCTCAAGTAAGTAAGTAAGTAAATAAACAAATCTTTAAAAAAAACCCCATAAACATAAAGAAGAAAAAGTTCTACTAGGATTAATTTATTCTAAGGAAAAAATTCCTTGCAAGTAGTGTAACATCAGAATATACTTTCATATCTATAATCATTACAGAATGAAAGTGAACTAACAGCTTTAAGTTATAAAGGTACAAATCTTACCATTAATACTGTAAATTAAAAGGTACTGAACTATCGTCTATTTTTGTTTTTGTTACTGGAAGAGGGAACTCTCTAATGCTTTCAAAGGTACAGAAGAAATCACAAATCTACAGGGAAGGAAGACCTAACTGATAAGAAACAACAGAACATTCAAGAACCAATGAATAAACATAATGAATGCGTCCCTTTGCAGAGCAGATCTCAAAATCTGAAACCAATACCTCTAGTTTTCTGTTAAGGAGCACAGCATTGTTCATTCCTTCCTTGAGGGGATTTAACCACCTCAACAAGCCTAAGACAGATCTTAACTTTTAAAAATGATGTGACAAAGCTATATACAGGAAACATCCTATTAGGAATGTTAAAGAGCAAGGGATTAATAAACATCAATTCCCAAAGGACACCAATCAAAGACTTAAAAATCAAAGTTTGCATTCTGATGAAAATCATTTTGTATCTTAAAATGCATAATGTCACACAAGAACCATTACTAAATTAGCTAGTTTATACAGACAACCCAATCCTACCACACATTGTCTTAAAAGGTAAAAATTCTAAGAAACAAATGGAAAGGAAAAAACCCTGGATTTTCTAAAAATGAATTTATTCTCAAATCGAAATTGATTTATAAAGTATATGAAATAGATAGATAATCAAATTACTGGACAAAAGGTAGTCCATTCCTTTCCCTTTAAGTAGATCACTCATTCCTAAACTATCTTAAGAGTCTATCCTAATCTAATAGATTTGAAAAAAAAATTCCATAACCTTCCCTGATAATACATCCTGTTATTACTTCTTCATATACATTTGAAAAACATATGCAAATACAAATATAAAGAAATAAAAAAGCACCTAAATCCTTGCTCAAGTTGGCACTCTAAGAATCTTGGGGCAAAAAGCCAATGAGATTCCTTTCTTCTTAACTTCTTTCTCTTTGTAGCCCTACTAAGAGTCATCCCTGAATTCATTCTTTCTCTGACTAATAACACTACTGCTCTTGCCTCCTTAGTATATCTTGAATTTATTCCCCCACCCACATCAGTTCTACTATCCTCAGACATTTTGTGTAAATTACTGCAAAAGTCAATTACTTAATGGTTGCTTTGCTTCTAAGAAAGGTTCATTCTAATCTGTTCTATTGACTACTGCCAAAATGCTTTCTAAAACACAAATCTGACCATGGAATTGTTCAGCTTAAAATCCTTCACTCGCTTCACAACACTTTCAAGGTCAAGTCCAAATTTCTAAGCTTGGCAAAACACAGTCCCTTTTCATCTGGTTTCATTCACCAATCCCCAATCACATGCTAAGCTCCAGCCATACTAAACTACTTACAGGTCTCTAAACAAGGCATACCCTCTTCTGAGCCTATTTATATGTTCCTCTCTCCCTAGAAAGATCTTTCCCTATTTGCCTCTGGTTAAAGTCTACTCATCTTTCAAGTAAACTTGGGAGTCTTCAGGGAAACTAGCATTTTTTCTGACAAGTTCTTAGCTGGTCTGGGTTAGGTCCTTTCATTTCATAGGACTTCCATTAATATCTTCTGCTTTTACTGTACTCATCAAACCTTACAGCAATTTTCTATTTCCTTAATAGTAAACTGTATCTCATTTAAATACTACCCCACATTTTAACACAGGACCTCTCATATTTATGGCACACTATGAATTTGAAGAAATAAAAGACAACATAGATCCCCATCATATTTAGATAATATTTACTAGGTAGGATGAATGTAGACATACAAGACCAAAGAGAATCACTGGTGTTGGAAGGAGACTACAGATGTACTGGAAGTCCAGCATCACATTGACAAAGGAACAACCTGGACAACTTCCCTTAAAGGAAGCCATACAACCTCTGTCTAAATAGTTTTAGTACATTTATTTGCTCTTTGGGCAGCTATTTATTGTGGCACATTCTACTGACCAATAAGACAAAAGAGTGGAAGTGCCAACTGACTCGACATCTAAGTATCTTGTGACTTTCAGTACCAATATGGTTACCAGCATTTCCACAAAGAGTATTACGTATCCGTGATTTTCAAACTATGCTTTAAGTAGCCCTAGGATTTCCATGGAGGACGACCACTGGCTGGAGAAAAAGAGAAGGAAGTTAGGCGGCTAGACACAACATACGAGGGGCTTCAGGTCCCTGTCACAGCTTCATACAAACTCCATTTTATCTGATTCATATATTGGGATTCCATTTTTTTTTTTTAAGATTTTATTTATTTAACACAGAGAGAGAAATCACAAGTAGGAAGAGAGGCAGGCAGAGAGAGAGGGGGAAGCAGGCTCCCCACCAAGCAGAGAGCCTGATGCGGGGCTCCATCCCAGGACCCTGAGATCATGACCTGAGCCAAAGGCAGAGGCTTAACCCACTGAGCCACTCAGGCGCCCCAGGATTCCATGTATGTTTAAGGAAAGGGTTTGGTGGCCAAAAATTTTTTGAAAATGAGTGATATAATCACAATAATTCTAAAATGAACTTGATAAAATGAAAATACTAATGATAATATCTTGCTTGCTACTTCTTAATGGGTAATTACCAATGGCCTGTGAATAATCTAGTAATTAAGGTAAGAATTAACACATCAAGGGAGAGACCAAACAATCTATATATATATAATGATTTTGCTCACAAAGACAAAAGAGGTAACAACCAAAAAAAAAAAAAAAAGTTAATTCAAAGTGACATTTACTTCAGACCCTCAATAAAGTTAAACTTCACTCCCAAATTAAAAAAAAAAAAAAAAAGAAAGAAAGAAAAGAAAATCACAGCCCTTGAGAAAGTCCTGGTTGAACACAGGTAAAGGATATATTTTTGCCAGTTTAAAAACTGAGAGCAAAAAATCTTACTTTGTCCTACAAAAAAAGAAGAAAAAAAAAAAAAGAAATGAAATCCCCATTCTGCTAGCTAGATAATAGGCAAATTCAAAAAATCTTTCCACAGTTCTCATACTACTTAACTGCTCTGCAAATTTTAAAGATTTTTTTTTTTTTTTTTTAACAGAGAGAGCGAGAGATCACAAGTAGGCAGAGAGGCAGACAGAGGGGGAGGCGGAAGCAGGTTTCCTGTTGAGCAGAAAGCCCGATGCAGGGCTTGATCCCAGCACCCTGAGATCATGACCTGAGCCGAAGGCAGAGGCTTAACCCACTGAGCCACCCAGGCGTCCCCTGCTCTGCAAATTTTAACACCATGACTCCAGCTCGCCTCTGTACACTTCTTTCCTCCTTGCCTCTCCTTACCCCAATATCTCTATGCCTCTGGTTTATCTTCTTCATCTCTGTTGCTACTGATACCTCTGAGGGCTTACTCTACTCTCTCCCACCCACTGAGTGTATTTCCCAAATACCAGTCCTCCATCTGTACTTTCCTGTTTACACTATCACCCTTGGTGAAATAATCAATTCAAACTATTACTCCAATGTGATGATTTCCCAATAATACTTCTAAATCTTGCTCTTGTATTTAATTTCTCTATCTGCGTGCATTGGTATTGCCTCAAATACATCAACTTAAAGTTAAATCATCACCTCTTATCTCCCCTTAAGTCCTTAAGTCCTCCCTTTCTGACCCAAGTTGTTTGGGTCAGTAAAAACAGAACTTACTATGTCCTGAGTCCTACTGCAGATGCTAGTGGATACAGAAATTAATAAGACAACTTGCCTTTAGGTGGCTCTCTCCCCTCATAAAAGGTAATTTCTGCACAATATGGTGAATGTAATAACAGCATTATATATAGTATGTTCTCGAAGCACAGTCTAGGTTCAGAAAACATTTCCTATAGGAGATATCGACCAACTTAACTTTTTAAAAGACAAATGAAAATTAGCCACATACAGTTAAGAAAGAAAAGATATTTCAGGTGGAGGCGACAGTATCAACAAATGCACAGATGCAGGAAATCAAATGTCAGACAGCAATGCAAAAAGAGTGCAAACAAGATCAGGTGCCAATTTTATCCTACAGACAACCAGAAGCCACTAAAAGGTTTTTACACACATCAGTGTCAGAGTTGCAATATAGTTACATTACTTTAGTGGCAGTATGGAAAACAAATCTGGGGACAAAAGACTACAGAGGAGT